ACAATAACTGTTATATGATAATATGGTTGGATAAAAAAAATCAAGTTTTGTTTCTGAGGGTAGACTTTGTGAAGATGCCATATTTCCAGTCATGATTGACAGTTTTGTGACATACAAAAACAAGGCAGGTAGGTATGTAGAATACATTACTTCAAACATGATGTAAATACACCTTAAATAGCAAATTCTTATAATCTATACTTTCAGATGTTTATGATTATTATGAATGATAGTCAATAATCATTGTGCATAACAATCAGGCACCCATGTACTGAGCATAAATTCTATACCAGAAATCATCTTTATTGTTTGATATAAATATTTTCCTTTACATGATTTTACACACAATTGATGTAAGTTGTAAGATAGTATTGTGTCACTTAGCAGTGAAGATATGTCTGTTAATGTGCCCTTGGATAATTTCATCACTGTGGAGCACATCATCCGTTTTTGTATATATGCATGTGATGATGAACAAAACAACACTAGATTAAATCAAGCATGAGAGAAAATGATTCTATCAAGAGATGTAACAGGAGATGTATAAAGCTATTGGCAGCTTTGGAATGATTGTAATATCAATAGACAATAGAAATTGAGGCCATTACTATATATGCTGTTTGTCATTGACTAAAATGTCATTACCGGATCTCTATTCAGATTTAGACACTAAATAAAGCTCATAGAGATTAAGTAACTAATTTATTTGAGAACCCATTTTTAGGATAAGTGACGATATTTGCTTTCATTATTGTTCTACTTTTCCATCTCTCAAATATATGTTTATTTTTCAGTAAAATTAGCAAAAACTTCTAAAGTCAGAGAAAATTGTGTCTAGCCAACACCCCTAATTCCAGAACATTTTCATTACCCCTAAAAATAATCCTCAATAACATTAGAAGCTAATCTCAATTTGCCTCTTCTCCATTTCCTAGCAACAATTAATTCATTTTCCTATCTATGAATTTGACTGTTCTGAATATTGCATGACTCTAAAATAAGCTGTAGGTCTACAGCATCAGTATTATTCTGAATATTGCATTACTCTAAAATAACTTCTAGGTCTAGAGCATTAGTACAGTGTTTAAGGTGCTTACCTTGCATGCATTTCTTCTGGGTTTAATCCCCAGCATCCCATATGGCTCTAGGTGTGATTACTAGGTTAGGAGCTCTCATGGAATTCTTTTTCTGTTCTGATGTGGTTTTGACCTGGTAAAATTTACAATGTAGCCTTCTTTGCCATATCCACTGTAATATTCCTGTTGTGACAAATTCTTGAATAATATAATAGCCTCGTCATTTATTGAATAATCCCTGTGTTCCAGTTACTGTCCTACATACATATTTATGCAAGTTCTCACTGTATTGCAAACCAACACTGTCAAGTACGGCTATTTCACAAATCAGGAAAAGAAGTTAAGCACAATTAGGAGCTCTCTCGGAGTGATTCCTGAGCACAGACCCAGGATTCCATACTGACAGGTGTGCCCCCTGCCTCCCACCCCATATTACCAAAACATAAAGTAAACTAAAATTTCTAAAGCTAACAGGATTGGCACCTTTGGCCTCCATCCTGCAGGGCTTGGTTACAGTCAATGAGACAGATACTTAAAGAGGAAGCAACCATATTAGTACTGCCCAGGCTTCACAGTGACCTGAGCAGCCTTGAGTGCTTTCAGCCCACAGATTGATTGCTCACAGGTTGCCCACTTTTTGGTACAATATCTCTCCCCCACCCTGTTTCCTAACACATGAGCTATTGTTTTAGTTGACTGAGACATTAAGGACAATTAGTAAGCACATGAAAATTCAATAGGTGCATGAAGAACAGAGGCTGTGGTATTTCACATTACCGAATACCAGGTACCCTTAAAATATAAAGTAGTGAGCTTAGCCATAGTACAGTGGATAGGGCATTTGCCTTTCACGCGGCTGACCCTGGTTCGATTCCCAGCATCCCATATGGTTCCCCAAGCACCACCAGGAGTAATTTCTGAGTACAAAGCCAGAAGTAACCCCTGTGCATTGCTGGGTTTGACCCGAAAAGCAATAATAATAATAATAATAGTAATAATAATAATAATAATAATAATAATTTTAAAAAGTAAAAATAAAGTCACTGAATAAACTTAAGATCAGTTTCACATCTTCATGTCCCTTTGTCATTGATGTCCTGCTTGGCTAACAGTGACCAGTGGAATTCAAGGCCTCCTGAGCATCCTTTTGGAGTCACCCCCAAAGAAAAAATTTGTGTGTCATGCATAAAGTTTACTATTTTAAAGTGTACAATTCACTTAATGCTTGTATAGTCAGATTGAGGGTCCTTCATCCCTATTTAATTACAGAATATTCCCATAATCCCTAAAAATTAACCTTAATACTCATGCAGGTATTATGTTGGTAGACCTCTGTTTTTGTCCATGATTCCCATATTCTTCTGTATTCTCAAGAATGAAAATAAAGATGCTCAGACTAAGAGCTAGAAAGTATAAAAGTGTACTGGAACATAAAGGAAAATGAACTCTATGTAAGATAAGGGGTGTTTGTGTGTGTGTGTGTGTGTGTGTGTGTGTGTGTGTGTGTGTAGGCCCTCTTAAATAAAAATTGGGCTCTTTGCATTTCTTATCAACTGATAAGAATGTTAAAGAGAATGCAAAGATCAAACAGATCCTTGTCTGGACATTAGTCTTAGGTATTGGCCATTATCTTGGCCTCCAGGTAAGCCTAAACTTGCAAAATTGTTATCTTCTTATTTATCAGAAAGATCCCAGGAATTCCAGGAACTCAAAAATGAGGGATTGGGCAGTCAAAAATCAATTGCTAAGAGCAGCTCCAAGGGGACACTGAGACTTCCTCTTTCAATAACATTAAAAGTTTATCTTCTTTACGTCTTCTACATTCCCTGGCAACTTAAAATTCACTTCCCCATTCATGAATTTGACTACTCTGGTTATTGCTATATAATTAAAATTACACTTCAGTAGCCACTTGCATGATTTATTTTACTTAATTTTTTTTAGGTTTCATCTACATAGTATTTATTATTACTTCATCCTTTTCATGGTTGAATACTTCTGTCACACTTGTTTCTCAACTGATGGCCATTTGGAGTTGTTACACCTTTAGGCTTCAGGAATAATGCTGCCGCAAACAATTTTTGTACAATTTTTTGTATGAACATTAGTTGTTCTAGAGAACAGAATTATTGACTCATTGTAGTCTCCTTTCTCTTCTTCTTCTTATTCCTCTTCCTCTCCCCCCGTCCCCCTCCAAGAACTCATATCTATGACAAAAACATGAGTTCACAAATCAGGAACTTTTTGTTTATAAATTATATCTATGAAACTTCCTAGATTGTAGTTCTTAACCAGAGGAATATTGCCTTCCATGTATCAATCTCTTGGAGCATTTTTGCTTATCACAGCTGTCTGTAGCACTGTCATTGCATTGTTCATCAATTTCCTCGAGTGAGCAACAGTAACGTCTCCATTGTGAGACTTGTTGTTACTGCTGTTTGGTATATTGAATACACCACGGGGAGCTTGCCAGGCTCTGCCATGCAGGTGGTATACTCTCGGTAGCTTTCCTGGCTCTCCAAGAGGGACAGAAGAATCAAACCCTGGTCTGCTGCTTGCAAGGCAAATGCCCTACCTGCTATGCTATCTCTCCAGCCCAAAGCTGTGCATAAGAACAGCTAGGAAAAGTTATTACTGTTATCTAGGGTGTAAATGTTAAGGGTGCTACTAAATGCACTGCATTATAAAGGACCTTCTATATCCTGTCCGTGAAGAATTGTCCAGCCCAGAACTATAAGAGTGCTGAAGATAGGAAATCCTGCTCCAAACGTTTTGTTTCTATTGGTCTAGACTATTTTAAGTGGTAGTGTTAGGGTTTGTTTCCTGTAGCCAGATAGTTTTATGTTCTTGACCTAAAATTTCATGGCCAGCCTGACAGGTACAATAGACAGGAGGAAGTTACAATTATTTTGTAAGACAGGAGATTTTTATTTATTGGGGGGTGGGGGAAAGGAGGGGAGAAAATGCTTTAGGGAATTATTAAGGAGTCCTCTCTGCCAGGATATAGTTTATACTTCTTTTCATTTCTTCTTCTTTTTAAAATTGAATCACCATGAGATACACAGTTACAAGGTTGTTTATGATTGCATTTCAGTTATACAATGTCCTAATACCCATCACTTCACCAGCGTACCTTTATTTTTCATCACCAGTGTCCCCAGGTTCCCCTTGCCACTATCTCCACCTACCCCCCCAAGCCTACCTGTCTATGACAGACACTTTCCTTCTCTCTCTCTTTCTCTCTCTCTCTCTCTCTCACACACACACACTTTTCTTCTCGCTCTCTCTCTTTCTCTCTCTCTCGTTCTGTGCATTGTACTTTGCAGTATAAGAACTGAAAGGTTATCATGGATACCCCTTTACCTACTTTCATCACCAAGTTCTTGTTCAGAGTGATCATTTCCAACTATCATTGTCTTACTGATCCCTTCTCTATCCTGAGTTAGGAGATTTTTAAAAGATGTTTTGGGGGACTTTAACAAAGTCGTATGCCTTTTAACATGGAATAAAATGCATTTTAATGTAGACAATTGCTCTATAACCTTGTACATGTATTTTTGCTACTGAGTAATTTTCTTTAAGATTTCTTTAGAAGAGAGAGATAAAGAAAGGCTTACCATAGAGACAGGCTGGAGAAGGGTTGTGGGAGGGTAACTGGGAACATTGGTGGTGGGAAACGTACACTGGTGCAGGGATGGGTATTGGAACATTGTATGACTGAAAACCGATCATGAACTTGTAGTTGTGTATCTCAGATGATTCAGTTGAAAAAAAATAAGTATAGAAATATACTTTGTAGCTTATTATAATATCCTGCCAATACATATGCATATATATGCTTATATATGTAATATTTTATAATTATAAATATTCTACATGTAGAAGTAATGCAAGATTTTTCTCTAATGTCATTTAAACCTATAGGAAGCGGTTAAAGAAAACAACAAAAGGAAGGAAATGGAGGAAAAAAGTAGGAGAGCAAAACTTGCTAAAGAGAAAGCTGAACAAGAAAAATTGGAACGCCAGAAGAAAAAGAAGCAACTCATTGATATTAATAAAGGTACAGAATATTTCCATTATAAAGTTATAAGCAAGTTATATTATTAAATTTTGATTATACTATAATTGTGGTTGGGGTAGAAAATAGACAATATTATTAATTTTATCAGATTTCTTTAATAATACTGTCTGTATTTCTTGTCACCTTATACTGAGAACTCAGGATTTGTGATGATTTGTTGCTGGAAGTTTTTTTCTCTGTGTATATCTTACAAATTATGCTAGGCTATGTGTAGGATAGTGATAAAGGATTAAGAGGATGCGATGAAAAGAAAAAGAACTTGTATGAAGAGGTATGTTTATGTTTGGGATACATGTGCTGACATAATTGTAAAAATAATATTCTTCCTTGTGAATTTTAATATTTCCAATCATATTAAATACTATACCATGGGAAAATTAGGGAACCACATCTTGTTTAACTGTGAGACTAAGAATAAAATGCGGGTAAGCTCACATAGTGTAACATAGGTTTTTCCTTGGTTCACAAGTCACTGAACTAAATAGCATCATATGCATGCATCACCCTTGCTCCTTAAAAAATTATTTGGTGGGCTCAGAAGCGGGCACAAAAATCTGGGAAATAGTGTGCTTGAAGATAAGTTACATGAGAACATCAATAAAGAATGAAAGGAGATGATAATTTTAAACAATGAAAAAGAAAAGAAATAGTCAATAGGAGAATGCATAGTGATCTATAGTGGAAATAACATACAGATATCCAGGAAGTTGAGAAAAGAGAATATAGTGAAGAATTATTTGTTGAATAAATCATATATGAAAACTTTCCCCATTTGAGAATTGAGTAATAAACCCATATCCTAGAAGGTCAGAGATATTGAAGCAAAACTAACCCCACATAAGTAAATACTGAAATACCTGTAATTAAGGTGGCAAAATTCAAAAAGAGTGATGAGGAGCAAATTTTTTTTTCATTTTTCTCTAACTTTATTTATTTTTTTAACTTTTTATTAGTGAAATACCATGAGGTACAGTCGTAGACTTACAAATCTTTGTGCTTGGGTTTAAGTTATACAATGATCGAGTACCCATCGCTCCACCAGTGCACATTCTCCACCACCACTGATCCCAGTATCCTTCCCGCCCCCCTTCTGTTTACTACCTTTATGATCTTGTTCTTTTCTTCATCTCTTTATATATCCGTTACCTCATCTGTAATATGGGATAATGATATTTATCTCCTACAGTTTTAGTGAGCTGGAGTGATAGCATAGCCGTAAGGAATCAAACCCAGCTGACCCGGGTTTGATTCCTCCGCCCTTCTCGGAGAGCCCGGCAAGCTACCAAGAGTATCTTGCCCCCACGGCCAAGCCTGGCAAGCTACCCGTGACATATTCAATATGCCAAACACAGTAACAAGTCTCACAATGGAGACGCTTCTGGCCCCACTCGAGCAAATCGATGAACAAAGGGAGGACAGTGCAGTGCTACAGTTTTAGTGAAAATTAAAGAGAAAATTAAGCACTTTAATATCACAGTTTAGAATATGTTTTTCATTAATGATGATGAGGAGTTAGTGCTCATTGAAGTCAGGAAAAAATCCAAGATCTAGGCCACCCCCCAACTTGAAAAAATTTACAACTTTGTCAAATGATAGAGGAGAATTTTTTATTTTTTTAAGTTTCACACTACCCGTCTTGTATCTATTGTGTAAAGCTCCATAATTGCCTAGATTCCTTTCAAAGACAAAGTAACAAAAGAAAAACAAGAATGCTGGAGACTTAGTGTTTCATACTTAGAGGATTGATTACAACTTGGGCATATATTAACCAAAGAGCAATAGATTTTTACTACTTTTTCAAAAGATGAGCATCTTTTACATTTGCTTGTTGGCCGTTTGTGTGTCTTCTTTGGGGAAGTGTCTATTAAGTTGTTCTCCCTATATTGTGATGCAATGGTTTGTTTTGTTGTTCTTGAGTTTTTTTAATGCTTTATGTTCCTTGGATATGAGCCCCTTTTCAGACATATTTTGTACAGAGGTTTCTTCCCATTCAACGTGGTGTCTTATTTTAGCCATAGATTCTCTTGAAATGCAGAAGAAACTTTGCTCTTTGATGTAATCCCATTTGTTTATGTTTGCTTTTGTTTTACTTGCCAATGGCACTGATTAACATTGAAGACACTGTAGCAAATATCATGAACTGTTTTGTCTGTGCTTTCATTGATATATTTTATGGATTGGAGTCTGGCATCTAGTTCTTTAATTCAATTTGAGTCACCTGTTGTGTATGATTGAGATAGTGGGCCAATTTTATACTTTTAAAAATTAATTCAGATCCTATGATTTTCAGATCCTATGATTTTCAGAGCAGAGTTTCAGGCATATAATGCCTATTCTGTCCCCACCACCCGTGTCTGTATCCCTCCCATCAATGTCCCCAGGTTCCCGGCCACCACCACCCCAAAGTATTTTCATAACAGACACAATTTTAGTTTTAATTATTGTAGTTTTGTTCCCATGATTTCAGTAGTTTTAGCTCTAATGATCTAGTTGTATAAAAATACCTCACCTCTCTACCCCAGTTAAGTCAAAAGGACAAGGGCAAATTCTGGAAGTTCTTACAAACCTGTAGTATGTGAAACAAGGGAATGGAAGACATGAAAGACGAAAGTATCCTTATACTTTGATTATAGAAATGGAAATCTCAGAGAGGTCAAAACTTGGAGAGAAGTAACAAGAGACAGTCTGGAGATAATATAAGGGGAAATGTTATTCATTTGGCTTCTAACTTGCTCAGTACCATTTGGTGAAAAGGCTTTCCTTCTTCCATTTTATGCTGTTGACTCATTTCCATAATCAACTGTCTGTATCTGTGATCGCTTCACTTTGTGCTCTCAATCTTATTCCAGTGCTCTGAAAGTTGGCTTTTATTACAGCACTACATTGCTGAGTACCATATCTTTTACACAGATGCAGACAGGTCAAAAAGCTATTCCAGTATTCTTCTTCAGTGCCTTTAGCTCAAAGTATTCTTTATACAAAGCACATATCTTGGGGTAGCATAGCTTCTTCATCTTCAGATAAGATAAAGCTAAACCAAGAAACAAAATAGTAATAAATAATATAGATAAATGAGAATTATCTAAGATGGAAAATCTGTGAAATCTAGTAAAATGAAGTAAGGGGTTCTGCTAAGCACCTTCTCAGGAATTATCAGTGGAAGTAGACACTGAAGATAATATTTAGTTAAGCCAAGAAAAAGCTTCAGTTAATGGGATAGTTGTCAGTGATAGTTCTTGTAAGCCGATATAGCAGCAGATTTCATGTAGGATATATTTCTGGCCCATAACAGAATATATCAAAATAATTAAGAAAATAAGGGCTAAATTCAGGCCTCAGATTCATAACTGACTAAGCATATAATATCTAGTCAGTTGGTTTCTCAGTGCACAATTTCTCACCTATAAAAAAGGAATATATTTCTTTATTATAAGAGCTCAGTGAGGTAAAACACAGAGAATGGTGTTGTTTTGGCTATGTAAGTCATTTGTTATTTAATGACAAGTTTAAATTCTGAGAAATATTTTGTTAGGGGATTTCTTTGTGTGCATGTCAGATACAGAAAACTGGAAGGTATATCCTGCTACACATCTGCACTATATGAAGGGCCACTGTCATTTTGCTGTATATGAAGACTTTCTTTTGTCTTATGTCTTTGCTTGATGTCCACTAAATATTTTCTGATGTGGTCATTATTATCATTATTCTAATTGGTGTACTGGAGCGATAGCACAGTGGGTAGGACATTTGCCTTGCACAGAGGGCCCAGCAAGCTACAGGGAGTATCCCGCTCGCTCAGCTGAGCCTGGCAAGATCCCCGTGGCGTATTTGATATGCCAAAAACAGTAACAACAAGTCTCACAATGGAGACGTTACTGGTGCCTGCTCAAGCAAATCGACAAACAACGGGAAGACAGTGCAGTGACAGTGCATTCTAATTGGTATCACTGAGGTTGGTTTGAATTGGAAAAAGTTAGGGAAATGTGGTAAGATTTTTGGAAAGGCTATGACAAGTCATCCAGGTCACACAGAGAAGTTGTGTTGTGATGTGGGAGGAGAGGCAGAGTTACTCTAGGAGTTTGTTCAAGGGTTAGTGAGATTGGGAGTCAGAAAGATAAAGAAAGGAGAGGAGAATGTGAGGTAGATAGAGTGGGAAAAGGAGACACAAGGTAAAATAATAAAAGAATACCTCACATCCGATTCATCAAAGAAAGACTTTAAACCAGAGGAAGTAAAAGAAGGTGGTAACAGCAAGGAAACTTTTCATATAAGAAGTAGGGGAAAAGCATTGAGAGCTCCAAGTGACAGATGTACTGATGATCATGCTTCCTTCTTTCAATAGCACAGATTTAGCAATATGGTTTTAAAGTAGATTATAGCATTTATCTACCTAACATTTATCATCAATCTCAAAAATTATAGTTAGAGTTCACATGGTAATACAATGCTTATTTAAATGAAAATTTAAGAAATATAATTTAACTACAGCAAAAAAAAATGCTCGAACATTAAATGTAGAGTGAAGCATGTATAATGATAGATGGAAGATGTAAGTACAGTATATAATTTATTCTCCCCACCCTTTGATTATAATAGTATAGATGGTTATTAGCTTATAGAACACTAAAAATTAATTTCATTTATTCTGTAGGTAAAACAAACTTACCAAATACTTGTCATACTTTTGAACAAATCTAATTCTTTTCAAGTTTATGGAAGTCTGCAAATTAAATGCTAAGACTTAAATGAAACTATAAAAGGAAATTGTTTTTAAAAGGTTTCTAATTAATGGAAATTAAAGTGATTAAGATAAGTGAAATGCTTGAGTTAAAGTCATTTACTGGATGGGTTCACTCATGTAACTATAAATTACTAAACCAACAGTCGAAAGACAACAGAACAACCCCTGCACTCAGTGAAAGTTATAGTTAAGAGAGAAAAAGAGGTGAGGTTGGAAGAATGGATAGAGAAATCTTCTG